TCTCCGTGTTGCGTGGGTTTTCTCCAGGTACTCCGTTTCCTCCCACAGACCAAAAACATGCATGTTAGGCTGATTGGTAACTCTAAATTGTCCCTAGGTGTGAGTGAGAGAGAATGGTTGTTTGTCTCGTTTGTCTCCAGGTGTCCCTGTGATGGACTGGAGACATGTCCAGGTGTCCCTGTGATGGACTGGAGACATGTCCAGGTGTCCCCCGCCCCTCGCACAGTGATTGCTGGACATGGGCACCGGCGACCCCCATGACCCAAAATGGAAGAAGCGGGTAAAAGATGATGGATGGATGAAAAACATTGACATTTTTTCTGTTTTCGCTGGAAGATTTCCAGGTCTTGGGGCCGATAATGATTTTCATGGCAGGTCTGGGAGTTTGTTTGGTGCGCTACAGCGTGAGCTGTTGGGGGCCCGAGCTGCTGCAGATAGCTGCGGGCCTCAGGCCTCATCTCGAACCCCAGGCCCGCCTCCAGCCCACGTGGCCCCCGGATCAGACCCCCTCAGAAATAGTAACTCACATTCTCACAATAAATCAATGAAACTGAATTCAGTTGTTCCAACTCGAGGCAGGAGAAGGTTACGGTTTTACAGCGCTGGCCTCTCCGGTACAATTTCGACACGAGATCTTGGACCAGAAGGTCCGAATGACACGTTGTCTTCCAACTTTATGGGGCTTAGGCTCCGCCTTCTTCCGGGAGCACAGCCTATCAAGTGGATAGAGGGGTGGAGTGTGATCTTGTGGATCGTATGTGATCTGACGTGTCAGAAAAAATGACTCGTGCAGAAAGAGCCTTTTCTACGTGATGTGGCGAGCCAATAAAGAATAAATAAATCAAAAGTCTGTTCCTTTACGGATACTGAATCCCTGAGAGACTCTTTTAGAGTTGCTTGTTTAAACCGGTCAGAACCGGGTCGATTTCATTACAATCCGTCTCTGAGCAGATCAAAAGCCCAGGGTCAGTTTAGATAAAATACTAACAGGTGTTTGGATCATTAAACTGAATGATGAGGAACATTTCTGTAAATATTTCCACAAAGCTAAATGCTGAGTTTGTGCGGTGATCTTTGTCAAAAAGTACATTTTGTGTAATAAACTGTTCATTCACTGCTCCTACACCATGCGTCTCTACTGAGCAGTGAATGAACAGCATTAATCACAGAACTTCTTTGCTGTGGGACGTTTCAGTGATTCAGGACGCAGCAGCGTCGCTGAAGAAAACACGTCGTTTCCTTTTCGTTACTCATGAACATCCGGAGACGAAGCTGACCATCCATGGGTTAAACACATTCCTAAAGTTGTAAACAGAAAGTTAAACATTGGTTTTGTAGTTTTCCAGCTGAGTGGTTTGCTCCTAAAGTCGTCCGTTTGCTCAGATCTAATTCAGAGATTATTAACTCTTTTCTGAAGGCAGCTGCCCAAACGTTGCTTGAAGCCACAGATGCTCACCTTCCCACCAACAGCTTCCCGGTCCTGCTGCTCGCTCGGCTCCACTGGAAGGCTCGGCTCCTAATCGATTAAAGTGCATCGATGCCAACAGCTGGAGGGGGATAATCTGAATTCTTCGGCTCATAAAGCTGATTTTAGAGCCTTCGGCCTCGGTTTGCTTTTACCGTTTGAGCGTAATGAAGCTTAGGCTCCCCTGAGACCCATAAAGCCCTGACCCGAACACAGGTCAACGACCGGGGACAGGGAAACTGAAAGACGAGACGCTGTGGGGGGCGGTCTCTGTGTGCACGTTTGGACAGAAGACAGAGCAGGGTTAAAGAGACATTCTCTGATGAGATGGACGTCCTTTGTCATGACGGCTTGTTCTGAGTCTATAACGGTCACAGACAGAGGGGACGACTGGGGTGTCTGGAGATTAATCTACGGGGGCCATGGCCACCATTGGCCACCCCCCGGCACCTGGTGGTGGATGACATGTCTCCCTCCACTCTCCAGGATCCGTCACTCTGCGCCGCCTCAGACAAGAAAAACTAAACGTCCCTCTGTGTAACTGCTGCACACGTCCATGTCAGGAACATCTCAACACGGAGAAGTTTGTCCAAAACTGGACTCGAGACGATCGTTGAGGTTTCATTTCCTCTCATCTGGACTATTGAAACCACTCACATGTAACCAAGGAGCTGGACCGTCTGCAGGCCGTCCAGAACTCAGAGACCAACGAGCTTGCATCAAACCTGTTTGAGCTTCTCTCCACTGGCTCCATGAGCAGGTCAGAGTTCTTTTTAAAACCTTCTCTGGACCTTCAGAGCTTTGCATGAACCGTCTTGTATCTGACTTGGTTCAGGTCCACACCATCCCGCTGGTTCTGGTCTTCAGGTCTGAGGTTGGTGGTGGTGCCAGCACCCAGTTCAAACCTCACGTTGTTCCGAGCAGCAGTGCCCCACATCTCTGAGGGACTTGAACAGTAAATGGTTGCAGTTTTGGAGATGAGTGTTTTTCTGGACTGGAACTGAACTGAATGTAAACCTTAATGTTTTTATGTAATGGATTCCAGTGGGAGGAGAACAGAGGGAGGCTTCGTTCTCCTTGTCTGAGGCAGAGCAGAGTGATGGATCCTGGGGAGGACGGAGGAACTTTATCCACCACTAGGAGCAGTGGAGGAGCCAGGGGGTGGCCAGTGGTGGCCGTGGCCACCATTGATTAATCTTCAGCCCCTGCAATTAATTGAGGAAACTATATTTCTAAGCAAGATGAAAAATAGAAAGCATAGTTTCCTTAAATGATAGTGGTGGCCAGCTTACACACACACACACACACACACACACACACACACACACACACACACACAAATAAATGGTGGTAGCCGTCTTGGATTTTGACGTGGGAACCCTAGCCTCAAAAACCTCCTTTCTTACGTCTCGATGCAGCCACACAACCAAGTGGAAGTCAGAATCTGACTTGTTTTTCAAGTAATCGTGGTCACAAGACGTGCGAACATACAAGTCCATCTTGGCTCAGCGATGGGGGTCTAGACTCTGGTCTGTCCTCTCTTCCACATGTTCTTTCAGAGGCCACAGTGTAGTGAGCGATAAACATTTGAAATGCACGCCCTGAACGTTTTGGAGAATCTACAGAGAACCACAGCATGCTCATAAACTTCAGGTAGGAGGGTATTCATGGACAAGAAGAAGCCCAGTGAGTGGGCACCCAGGCCCAGACTCGGGTCTGGTTCAGGTATGAAGAGACCTGCGTCCACCAAAGGTAAAGAGTTGTCATGGAATGAGACATGAGCCACCCAGAAAGTCAGGTGCTCCACCTGAGAACACAATTAGACCAATAAATGTGAGGGAGCAGTGAAAGCACCTCACAGATCCTCTTCTGATCGCTGCTCTTCATTTGGACTCAGGCTCTGGGTTAAACAAACACGTTGGAATGGAAGGTTTGGCTGGTCCCCCGACCATCGGACAGATTACTTCAAGCACCGGATGCTGATTTAGCAGATTTCAGGGGAACATTTTTCACTTGTACCAAGAAACAGCAGCATCACATGAAACTGACAAAGAACATGGAGGGTGAACGTGCACAGAGGATTCTGTGGCTGCACAACATCTACAGGTGACCCCTCATGAGCATGCATCAGGATATCTACAGGTGACGACCTCCAGATGTACACGGGGCAGTTTGTACGGATTAAACCTCAGATTAACGAACGCTCACAGCAGCTCTAATCCAGGTGTTTTCTCCAGAGCTTCGTAAAGATTTTCCTCAGGCTTCTGTGTGATCCAGAGGCTGACAGCTGGATCACTCGCCACACTGTCAAGTTTCCATTTCCTTCCCGCTCGTGTGTGTCTGAAACTGTATCTCTCTTTCTTTGTCAGGGTTGTTTTTTCTGAACGGTTTCTGGAGGGGGGAGCAGACCTGATGAGAATACCATCCCTGTGATTCTGACCTAGTGAAATCTCAAGTATTCAGGACAAGAAGCTGCAACTAAACTCAGAATCATGAGTCAGAAGTGAATTAGTAACATTTATTTTTGTGTTTTTGCTGATTACTAATCCAAACTCTAAGACAAATATGATGAGACTGTTGGTGTTACTTCTCTCTCACCTGTTATTCTTTCATTTCCAGCCGTGGTGGACACGGTTCCACTAACCTGCTAATAGCAGAGTTATCTTTCCATGTAGCTTTGGTTTTGGATTAGCGTTGTTGCTAACTTTAAAAACCTTTAGCGGAATTAGCTCCTGCTAAATATAAATCCAGTAACTTCAAGTCTGTTAATTTAGAGACAGTTCTCTGCACCAAAATCATAGAGGAGAACGGAGATTTGCACGTAGCGATGCTAGGCAGAGCTAAGTCAAGTTAAGCACCACCCGGTGGTGTCACCACCCTCCTAGCCCCCCCCCCCCCCCCCGACTCGTTCACCCAGCGGTCCTCACTGCAGCAGGACTTACAGTTTTCAGTGCGCACATCCAAACTCACATTAACTTCCACTGAAGTTTCCTCTTCAAAACTAGACGTGACAAAATGTCCCGTGTGATCTCACATGAAGTGTTGGTGCTTGGAATATGTGTTGTGAATGACTCTCAGCCACTACCACACCAAGTTTCAGCTCAATATCGATAAAATTCACTGAAGTATATCGGGTGATTCGATGTGGCAGCCATCGTGAACTGGGTTGACTCAAAGGTTTATCAGTTATAGATGTACAGCCCACAAAGTTTAGTTCAAATCCCCTCGTGGACATCGTTCCGTTTATATGTGACGTTATCGAACTGTTTGAACACATGTTGGCAGGAAGATGGACACGTATGAGAAGGAAGCTGAGGAAAAGACGCCTTCCCCCAAAGAATCAATGATCTTAGTGCGTTTATAAATAATTTTTCCAAAATTAAATCAAGGTTCACTTAATTTCTCTGACTAAAAGCACATTTGGATCAGGTATCAGTGATTAAAGACTTTATAGTTTTGTTTTGTCTAAATAGTGAAGCGTGTTTCCCAGTTTGTGCCTCGGTACCTGAAGAATGTCAGATGGTTTTGAACTCACCACATGGAAGACTGCAGAATGTGGACCGGTGGAGAGGATCATCTGCGGTTGGAGGCCGGACTGGAGGAAGGAGCCGTGAGCCGACACCGTGCAGCCTCCGCTACCATAAGATGTGTGTGGGGGGTGGGGGGACAAGAGCGGATATCAGCGTTAGCATCGGACACAGGAGAGCCCCACAGGGAGGTACCTGCTGTTAGCGTTAGCAACTTGTCACCTCCCACTCGTTTCCTGCTGCTGAAATCTGCAGCATTAAAGTGTCTGACCCCCCCCGTTATTCTCTCATACATTCTGTTCTGTGACGAAACATGAGAGGAAATCTGACAGAATTTATCCGAGGCAACGATTTTAAAGAGTGCACCTTAAACCAGTCCTCAAGAAGGGAACGAGTCTTCGCGAGGACTGGTTTCTGATCAGTCTCTGAACGAGTCGGGGTCTCACCTCACGAACGAGCGTAGCGGCTGGATTCTACTGATGATGGGATCCTCGTTGTAGGTGAACGCTGTGGGGGCGTGGCGTTCGACCAGGTCCACGGTCAGCTTCACCGGCTGCTCTGAGCGGGCGCTGTGCGGAGGCGTCTTACAGGTCAGCATGGTGGACGTCAAGCTGCCGGTGGATGAGAAAACCAAAGCTTAAGTTTAGCTCGGTGCCAGACAATTTGACCGAGTATGGTCATTCTAGTGCTGGTCCGTTAGCTGTGGCAGCCATGTTTAATTGATGAATGTATTCTTGCTGTAACAAGTCGCTGGTTCTGCCTTTCTGATGCGTTCGTGCTGCAGATCAAGGAGCAGGTGGAGCAGCTGCTCCCCCATAAAAAGACAAGCCGTCCTCACCTCCCTCAGCTCCGAGTTGGTTCAGCACAACCTGAGCTAAACTGGAAGAAGCTGCTGCCCCGCTACTCAGACAAGATTCAACTTTGGAGATATGAAAACAATAAAAAACAAACATTTAGACCACGCTCCGTTGTTTTGCTGGCATGAATCCAACAGAGAAAGATAACTGCGATCAGACTAGAGGGCCAGGTACCCACCATCTTATAACACGTGTACCATACGGTACGATAGATGGATGATGGATGGATGGATGATGAATGGATGGATGATGGATGTATGGATGATGGATGTATGGATGATGGATGTATGTATGATGGATGTATGTATGATGGATGTATGTAT